CACCCTGGCTCTCATACCAAAAGTAGCACTGGACATCTTTGCTAACAATGTCGTAAATTGTAAAATTGTGGCATCCTAACTTTGTTTTATAACAAAGAGCACTGGCATTGAGTTTAGGTGAGAGAAGTAGAGCCTGGAGATCCATTGTAAGAACAACAATTGATGGATCATCTGTTGCTCGCTGTTTATCGCGATTCTTCTCAGCTCGTGCTTCCTCCTTTGCTTTGATATGTTGGATATAAACTGCTTCATCAAGGTTTTTAGCTTCGTAAGAACAACATGTGTCACATCTGTCTTTTTTTGGTGAAAACAGAGCCAAATTCAGGAGATTGAAAACCTCAAAAAACAGTTTTCGTCCACATAAAACCTTCCCATTGTCTAAACAATCAGACTTATACACCTTATATAATTCTGCCGAAGTACCAAACACGGGTTCGAGGTAATTTTTCGTACTGCTTGATCTACAATAGTGTGACGGTAGTTTTGGCAGATTTTGCAAAAAAGCTTTAGCACTATCTGATTTGATGGTATCGCCTGTAGAACGACGTTTGCCCGGTGATTTAGTTGGTATACCGGTATCATCTGTATTGGCTATCCATGCATAAAAACTGTCTTTTCTCCCAGACAAAGAGTTGACAGAAACAATGATTTGCAGACTTGTAATTTCTCATTATCTTTCTTCAAGAAATACTTATTTGAACCATTTCGTCTGTATTCTGCATCATCTTTGGCAACAGTTCTTTCCTTTACACTCTCTCTATCTACCAAACTATTCACAAAAATTTTCTTCTCTTTCCAGTCCATATTTTCCCAGAAACCAGTACAAATTTTCTGTCGATCATCATCCGTTAAGTCACGACAACGATTTCTTTTCTCGCACGTTTTAGTACATTTTCTTTCTTTTAGTTTTCTGCTACCTTTATCTGAACTGTAAGTAAAATGACCATCAATTTTCTTGACACCTTTATATGGTTTGCCTTCCATCCTTAAACGTTTATTGTGTTGTCTACTCCAATTTTGAGGACCCATTTTGCGTTTTATCCGACCTACTGGTTCAGTTTGGTTATCACTTTGACTGTCACTTTGAGCATCATCTTCCACTGGAACATAGTCCGGATCACGAACTTCGTCATCCAAGTCATTTTCTGGTGAATTAGGTCTAACAACATCTTCATCTGAACAACGGACAGTTGAACAATTATTCTTATTGGACTCTAAATTACAATTTTCTAAATTAATCAAATTTTCGAATAAATTATCAATGTCAATTTCTTCCGCGCAATCTTGTTCGCCAATTATACATTCTGACGTTAATGCTTTATCAACATTTGGAATAACACCATGATTTTGTAGAATTTCAACTACTGGTGATATCGGTCTTTGTGGTTTTTCAATAATCGGAGGGGAAGAGTGTTTGATGCCTCTGAATTGATCGCTTTGTGAAGGATTCGAATTTTTATGATTTTATTAACTTTTGATAACAGTGACGAGTTCAAAGATATTTCGTGACTGTGCAGGTTATTGTAAGTCATGTTAACTACGTTTGAGGTCTCAAATGAATAAAAATGCATGGAAGTTTTATAGAAATACTTACTTCTTTAGTGTAAACAAATGTCTGTCGTCTGCTAAAAACATGTGGTCGAGTTACGAGGTTTTAACTGTAATTTTTTAAGCCAATTAAAATTTCGAGTATTTGTCACATGCTAATATTATTAATTCTAATTGGACTAGAGTTGCGACGTTTTTACACAAGGTGTATTAACGGTATTAGATGTAAACAATAACATAAAATGATTTTGACCAAAATCGAGATACGAGGTTTTAGAAGCGCAACGACGATATGTGTGTGACCTTGTCAACTTAGACCCATTGTCACGGGAAAAAAAATAACAATTGATCTTTAATTTTAAAATGACTTTGGTGATACGTGGAATATGCCTTTAGGAATTAAATATGAGTTAGGACTTAGAAAGCAAATAAGAATGTGAGGATGATCGTATGTATTCTAACCCTTGCTATATATATCATTGAGCTCTGTTAATCTTTGAGTTTGAGTTAACCTACCGTAATTGAATAATGCAATACCTTCAATGAAAGTGTGTTTTTATATTTATCAATTTGTTTAGCCTTTTAAAACAACGTCACTTCTCAATTCTCTATAGGCCAACGACTCAATTGTACAAACAAATGCGTTTATATTATAGATGATATCGTGTCAAATATACGGGATGATAATGGTGTCTGTGATGTGCCAAGTCTGACTTCAAATTTTTCGTAAACAAGGGGTGCGCATTATACACGGGTAAATGGATTTTTTCCGATTTTAATGGGAAAAGGAAGGGGTGCGCATTATATTCGGAAATATACGGTAACAGATTAATGACATAGATGATATTAATTAAAATTCAGTCTCAATTCAATAATTAATTAAAAGTAGTGGGGATTCTTTGTCATTAAAAGGATATTTTTAGCAATATCATGATGTTTCTGTAATATAATTAATTTTTCATCTATAAAGCATTTAATGCAAAAATTAAAAAGAAATTAAGTTGCGAAATAAGTAGAGTAATTAAAAACAAAAAACTAATTTCAAAAGAGGTTTTATTTTTTTTTTGTATCTAATTTTGCATGGTTGTTTACAATTTCCTCATATTTTTCAGAAATATTTTGATCAGTGAAGAAAAACACCAGTTCTATTTTGTTGTTATTTTGATCAGTGAAGGAAAACATCAGTTCTATTTTGTTGTTTTTTTGATAAGGGGGGGGGGGGGGAAACATCAGTTCTATTTTGTTGTTATTTTGATCAATGAAGAAAAAAACTCCAATTCTATTTTGTTATTATTTTGATCAGTGAAGGAAAACATCAGTTCTATTTTGTTGTTATTTTGATAAGGGAAGAAAAACATCAGTTCTATTTTGTTGTAATTTTGATCAGGAAGGAAAACATCAGTTCTATTTTGTTGTTATTTTGATAAGGGGGGGAAAACATCAGTTCTATTTTGTTGTTATTTTGATAAGGGAAGGAAAACATCAGTTCTTTTTTGTTGTTATTTTGATAAGGGAAGGAAAACATCAGTTCTATTTTGTTGTTATTTTGATAAGGGAAGGAAAACATCAGTTCTATATTGTTGTTATTTTGTTCAGTGAAGGAAAACATCAGTTCTATATTGTTGTAATTTTGATAAGGGAAGGAAAACATCATTTCTATTTTGTTGTTATTTTGTTCAGTGAAGGAAAACATCAGTTCTATATTGTTGTAATTTTGATAAGGGAAGGAAAACATCAGTTCTATATTGTTGTTATTTTGTTCAGTGAAGGAAAACATCAGTTCTTTATTGTTGTAATTTTGATAAGGGAAGGAAAACATCAGTTCTTTATTGTTGTAATTTTGTTCAGTGAAGGAAAACATCAGTTCTTTATTGTTGTAATTTTGATAAGGGAAGGAAAACATCAGTTCTATATTGTTGTAATTTTGATAAGGGAAGGAAAACATCAGTTCTATATTGTTGTTATTTTGATAAGGGAAGGAAAACATCAGTTTTATATTGTTGTAATTTTGATAAGGGAAGGAAAACATCAGTTCTATATTATTGTTATTTTGTTCAGTGAAGGAAAACATCAGTTCTTTATTGTTGTAATTTTGATAAGGGAAGGAAAACATCAGTTCTATATTGTTGTTATTTTGATAAGGGAAGGAAAACATCAGTTCTATATTGTTGTAATTTTGATAAGGGAAGGAAAACATCAGTTCTATATTGTTGTAATTTTGATAAGGGAAGGAAAACATCAGTTCTATATTTGTTGTTATTTTGATAAGGGAAGGAAAACATCAGTTCTATATTGTTGTTATTTTGTTCAGTGAAGGAAAACATCAGTTCTATATTTGTTGTTATTTTGATAAGGGAAGGAAAACATCAGTTCTATATTGTTGTTATTTTGATCAGTGAAGGAAAATCAGTTCTATATTGTTGTTATTTTGTTCAGTGAAGGAAAACATCAGTTCTATATTGTTGTTATTTTGTTCAGTGAAGGAAAACATCAGTTCTATTTTGTTTTGTTTTTTTATCAGTGACAGGAAAATAGTACATTATATCTAACATTTACAATTGCAATTTTCAAACCTCAATTATCAAACATTATAGCATTTCTCAGAAAGACCTCTGTTAGGGTTATAGGTGACCCCTTATGGAAATTTTCGCCAACATTGCCATTTCACTTAGTTTCGGGGTTGAAAGACAATAAACATATTTTTTCAAATTATTACAATGATGTCACTTTAAATTCTGCACAAAAACTGAGTTGCTGAAGTTACATATATTTTCCACTATATCTTGTGTTATAATGGAACATTTCAGAATTAAAAAAAAATAATTTTCCTTTCAACTAATCAAGAACTTTTCATTTGTATATCTTAGCTGATTTTTTCTGATAACGAAGTAATTATAAGACACGTCAAATGAAAATGCATCTTATATTTGTTTTTAGATCTTTTAGTAATTACTACTACTATGTTTCTTTTTATATTCATTCACTGATAAAAGCATTTACAATATTCTGAAAAAAGCAAGTGGAAAAAAGGATCATAAAATCACAATGATATATCACATAAGTCGTCATTTAATTAGTTTTTATCACTAAAGTTTATTGCGAAATTCTAAGAACATCAAAAACTTGATCAATGTACACTTTTTATTGCCCTCATAATAAGATAAATGATCAAAAATTAACTTAGTTTCTTTGAATCAGTGTAAATTTAACCTATTAATTGACACACCACATGTGGTTGGCCACTGTACTGTGGAGTCATTGTTGTTCGTAGAATTATCCAGGTTAGAAAGTCAAAATGACTTTTTTTTTTTTTTTTTTGAGACTCTACCATAAATAAATAAGATATATATAGTGAAATCCCTAGCATGAGGTATTTTTGAACAAATTAAGCAATTTTAATACAATATCGCAAATGGCAAGCCATGACCTTTTTATCATCAGTATCATCAGAAGACTAATTGCTCCGCTGTAATCATATCTAATGAAAAGTGGTATCAGGTGTCTAGAAGATTAATCATACCCTGCCTGGCGTCACACCTATCTCATAGGCATGCAAGAATTCTTAAAGTCACAAAATTAAAAACTTAGTGCCAAATCACTATACTATTATATAGACCAATCTAGTTGATGTTTACATTAAAAAATCTTTTAACTCTGTTAATTTAGATTGATTACTAATCATATATATAGAATTTTTACACATTAAAAATTGTGGCAAACTGTACAACTGGAACCAAACCTAGGGGAAACCAATGAAGTTCAAGCAATTTTAATATGTGACATCGCAGGTGAATATTTGAAACAATACTCAAATTTATTTATGTTTATATATACTCTTACCAAGATTTATCAAAATAAGTTATAAAAAATGGCTTCAAAATCACAATTGTATAGTAATTCCTAGAGGATTCATACTTAAATCAAGCAAACAATTTGATTAGTATTAGAAATCTCTAGAGATGTTCACATTTAATTTATTAATAGTTGAAATTGTCAGTATTATAGCTTGACTAGATATTATATTTCCTTTAAAATCAGGTGATATTAAACGGTATTCCATGGCTATTCAATCAATTTTGTAACATTCTATGAGAGTTTGTCTTATTTTTACAAATATCTTAACAATCTTGGATACAGTTCTCTACATATATCATTAAATAGCTGATAAAGCTCCATTCCAATTTATAGTCAGACATCAGTGGTTCTTGCATTTGCATAAAATCTAAGTGTTTTATTACATCACGATTGTAAAACATTGTATTGTTATTGTAAATTTGTAAACATCTGTGATTCCTGTGTCAAAAACTATTTAGTTGAAATAGCAAGTTATGTCTTACCAGAATTGGAATTAGCAAATGAAGGCTATACACATAAAAAGTTAAGAAAATGTCACAGCTTTTTTAGATAACTAAGTAGTGTTCTTTAATCAAATTATTAAACTGAGTAGTTTTAAATAAAACTCACTATCAATTTTCTACTATTATTAGGTATGATTACTGAGTAGTGTTCTTTAATCATATCATTAAACTGAGTAGTTTTAAATACAACTCACTATTAATTTTCTACTATTATTAGGTATGATTACTGAGTAGTGTTCTTTAATCAAATTATTAAAACTGAGTAGTTTTAAATAAAACTCACTATCAATTTTCTACTATTATTAGGTATGATTACTGAGTAGTGTTCTTTAATCATATAATTAAACTGGGTAGTTTTAAATACAACTCACTATCTATTTTCTACTATTATTAGGTATGATTACTGAGTCGTGTTCTTTAATCATATAATTAAACTGAGTAGTATTAAATACAACTCACTGTCAATTTTCTACTATTATTATGTATGACTACTGAGTCGTGTTCTTTAATCCTATCATTAAACTGGGTAGTTTTAAATAAAACTCACTATCTTTTTTCTATTATTATTAGGTATGATTACTGAGGAGTGTTCTTTAATCATATAATTAAACTGAGTAGTTTTAAATACAACTCACTATCAATTTTCTACTATTATTAGGTATGATTACTGAGTCGTGTTCTTTAATCCTATCATTAAATTGAGTAGTTTTAAATAAAACTCACTGTCAATTTTCTACTATTATTAGGTATGATTACTGAGAAGTGTTCTTTAATCAAATTATTAAATTGAGTAGTTTTAAATACAACTCACTATCAATTTTCTACTATTATTAGGTATGATTACTGAGTAGTGTTCTTTAATCATATAATTAAACTGAGTAGTATTAAATACAACTCACTATCAATTTTCTATCATTATTAGATATGATTACTGAGTAGTGTTCTTTAATCATATAATTAAACTGAGTAGTTTTAAATACAACTCACTATCAATTTTCTACTATTATTAGGTATGATTACTGAGTAGTGTTCTTTAATCATATAATTAAACTGAGTAGTTTTAAATACAACTCACTATCAATTTTCTATTATTATTAGGTGTGATTATTATCATTAGTTATTATCAAGTACTGACTTGTACAGGCATACATCATGAAAAGAATTAAAAGAAATTTTGAAACATTTGAAACTTTTAACTTTTGATCAGAGAATAGTGCAGCTCAAGTCACACAAACATGACCACACTAACAATTTCAGGACTAGTTTAAAACGTCTTTCAATATGAATACAATGCAAACTATGAATTCTAGCTGCTCATAGACAGTTCACCAGAGTTTATCAATTTTCTTACCCTTTTATGAAGATGTTATTATTGTTATTTAAGTTAAGTTATGTAAAGTTTAAATCTTAATTGAACTGAGTTGTTGGTGTTTAAAGACTAAAATTTGGATTACATAAGTACTTTGTCTTAAGTTTTGAACAATTGTGATGGTTGTTAATGATAATCAATGAAATCTAGTCATAAGACAGAGACAGACATTAAACATGATAAGAACATAGTAGACTAATCTCATGATCAAATACAATTTTCTTTACCAGTACTCTTCTTAAAAATTAATCATCTTGGTCTGTGGATTTGGCTATATTTGCTTGTTATATCTGATTTGGAAAACAAACTATAGTTTGTGGGTTACAACTATTAAGACATTTTTAAAATGAACTAGACATGTATTTTTTTATTTTAACATTAGTTATATATTTCCTTTGAAACTTAAAGGGATTGTAAAGAGGTTTTTTTATGTGTGTCGGGGACACTGATAGCATCAATTTAGACCATTTCAATTTTCATTGGGACGTCTGTGGTTCCTGTAATTTCACTAAAACTAATGTTTTTTATGACGTCAATAGAGGGAAACTTCATATATATATTAATAGTAGCTTCCTTTTTGCTATTATTTTGCACAGAATGACTGGTTTTATGCCAAAATAAATGCCATACTCTATTGGAAGTTGAAAGTCATCACCATATTACCTCTAGAAAGCACTAGCCAAGGCACCAGTCGGACAAACAGTGCCCTCACACCATAGCAATTACCAGTTGCATGTGGTTGTCTGAAACTTATTACACATTGTTGTTATTCACAACTATTCAACACTATAGTATGAGGGTCATTACAGAAATTTGATTATAGTAGTTTCTGCAACTTGAGGCTAAAGTAAAAGCACTTATAGACACATTACTGACTAAATCTTCATTCATTGCAGCTGACTCGAAACTGTTAAATCTGGTGCAGTGAGTTGGAAATGTCTTAAGGCAACACAACTTCCTGATTTCACAGCTCCTTGATAAACATGGTTCGAATTTAAAGTACCTGATAGACTTGAGGGATTTACAAATGGTAGATTTTAACAGACTATTCTTATATAGAAAAAACAGAAAAATAGCTTTAATAAGTGTTAAAAAACACACATTTTAAAGTAAAATGTGCCAATGACCTGAAACCATCAGTGACTATTACCCAAAATTTTCTAGAAGCCTTCTAAATTCCTAGATTATTCCAAAATAATACACTTACAAATGAGCTTAGTTGTTAAACTAAATGTCAGCGCCAACATTTTTCTGGATTTGTGCCTTAAAGAACAATTCTTCTTCAAACAGAAGCCATGTTAGTTCTGTCTATAAAACACTTGCTTGACTTCCTTTTGTTTACTCTCCAAACAGATTTGTTTCTTACAGGTTCCACTGTTGGGTATTGAGTAAATGTTAGTCTATTTTTAAAATGTCAGTGAACATAGAAGCTTTTGTTGAAATTGTTACATATTTCTTAATGAACGGAAGCCATTATAGATCAGAGTATGCTAACAGAGTATGCTAACGGGGCATCTTGCAGAAGTCTCAGAATAACTTTTGGAATCTAGAAGGATCATATTTCTGGAAGTTCAATATACTGATGTTAAACAATTAATTATTATTGTACATGCACATTGCATACTGTGGCTGGTATGTTTTAACATGTGTAAATACTGATGTTTGCATTTTATAAGTCCTTTTTCTGAGATATAAAACAAGCACATGCCAAGCAAGGTATGCCCACCTTTAACAGCAAATAAAGGGCTGTAACTCATCCGGGATATTTTTTGCGTTCACAAGCCAATTGCCAGGTTGAAGAATAAACTCTGAGACAAAAATCTTGTCCATACGCAAAGTCATTGTTCTGTTAGAATAAAATAAATCAAGTACAAACGATCAGAACTTCAAAACAAAACCAGAAATTCAAAACAACATTTGTGTTCTCTCTTTCCTCACCCTCTACCATGATAAATCAAAACCAGATAGTGTGTGATAATGCCATTTATTTAAAATGACGAAGGAATGAAAAAATAGCATAATAAACAAACAACAATTAAATAAACAATAAATCATAATGATTTATAAACAATATCATAAACTAGTTGGGCTTAATAAACCTACTATGCGCCAAACACATCACTGGACAAAGTGATGTCTAGCCCAACCCAAACCCTATCACACACAATCTGGGAGACGGAATCATTAATAAGAAGATGCATATATCATGAACAACATTGGCCCCCTCGTCAGACACAAGATATAACAAAAAACAAGATATTAGTAAATAAAAGATAGTTTAACAGATATAACATAATTAAAAAATTACTGCAAACTACGGTGTCAGTACCCTACAGTATAAGTTGCAAACTACTTTGTCAACATTCGAATATATAAACTGCAAACTACGTTGTCAGTACCTTAAAGCACATGCTGCAAATGACCTTGGTCTTATTAAGTTAACGTGAGAGAAGGGGTTTCTAAAGAGACAAATCGGGCAAGCGGACATATGATCTTACAGCATTACTACTCCAACGACCATCACCCGAATTGCATCCTCAGAATGACCCTTCATAAATGCTTAAGTGGCTGCTCCAATCCTGAAAGAGTGCAATTTATAAAGATCTATTGACAAACCGAGAAATGATACAAGCCTGCGCAAAGAATTATTAACAAACGAATATGATACAGTAGCACCATTAATAAATTGAAACAATGACCCGTTTGAATGCGGAAAATATTGAATATAATTAAACAAGGAACATGGAGCACAGGTTGCATTGACTGATTCAGAACATTGACAAGTTAAAAACAATTTTACAGGCGTGGTGGAATGTTTGTAATGCGACAAAACAATTTCTAATGAGGAAACTTTTTTCGTTTCCTTATTGAACAAGAATTCAACATTTTCAGTTTGAAGTATATTATGATAAGTCGAGTGAGACTTGAGCACGAGCTCACCTAAACGAAAAAATCCTGCAAAGGCTAAGTTAAATATAGCAGAGAGCAAGAACCTATCAAATTGCAATGTGACAACGATTGGAATTGCACGAATTAATTGAGTCAAAATTTTTTCTGTGATTGGCAACCTCGCATCTTTTGGAGAATAGAGGCGTTTGGCACCCTTTATTAACGATTTAACTAAGAAGGAATGAAGGGGTTCCGAAAAACCAAAGGAACGCTGTACATAAGAAATAACTGATGCATGTGACGCAATAGTACTTGGAGAATATCCAGACTCAAATAAAAAAGCTAAGAAATTTACTATTATAACTGCAGGAATAGGAAACCGAGGTGATAAATCACACGTACGGCAAAAGTCCAAAAACTGATTCCAAGAACGCAAGTAGGCTGCACGTGAATTACAGATAGAGAGGCTTGTATCAAATGCATAGCTATTGGACTTAAATGATCAAGAGATTCTGGAGCAGCAGATCTAGACGTGGCATTGTAAATAACATAAGAGACACACAAATTATCAGTCAATAACTTAACTTTATGATTACGCAACAGATGACCCCAAGTCTCAAGGGCTATCACAATCGGAAATAGTTCTAACACATTTATTCTAAACTCTCTTTGGGCTTCTGTCCATGTCCCAACAAACCATTTAGAACCAAACACTGCAGCATAACCTTTCGTGAGGGCTGCATCAAAATACAGTTTAATATGATCAGATTGAACTCATTCATCATTCAAGAACATACACTTGCCATTAAAGCCATCAATAAAAACATTCCAAATTTTTAGATCTAAGCGTGCTGCATTATTCAAAGTTACTTTAAAGTGGGGCTTTTTGACCCCTATAGTCAGATTATATAAATGACGCAAAAATGTGCGCCCTGGAACAACAATGGACGCAGCAAAATTTAACAATCCTATCAACGATTGCAACTCTCTTAAAGAAACTTTCCGTCTGGACATAACCGACGACAAGGCCTTAGTGATCTTAATTAATTTTTCATCAGGAAAACGACTAATCATCGCAACTGAATCAATTTCTATGCCATAAATCACAATTTTAGTACAAGGATGGACAGTTTTTGAATGCTTAATAGGAATATTTAAGTATGAAGCTAAAGACATAAAGTGTGCCAAGGTGTCTGCACTTAGTGAGGATAGGTAAGCACATATCAGCGAAATAGTACAACTTGTTATGTAAAGGGACCGTAAAACCTAACAACTCGTAATCATTGGGATGAATAGGAACTATTCTATAGGCATCCTTTATATCTGCCTTTGCCATTTGAGCCCCAGCTCCCATACTTTTAACTATCTCTATCACACGGTCAATAGAGTCGTAATGCACTTCGGTAAAAATTGAATCAATCCCAGAATTTATCGAATCACCCTGAGGAAAGGAAAAATCATGGATTAATCTAAACGCTCCAGTTTCATGCTTTGGAATAACTCCTAACGGGGAACAACGCAAAGCTGGAAAGGGACTATTTTCAAACGGGCCCATTACACGACCCTCAGACAACTCAGCATTAACTTTCTTGAACAGCACATCTAAATTCGAATAACATGATGCATGGTTTTTGGACAGTGTTAAAGTCCGCTTGCCAGAAAACGGGATACGAAAACCAATCGAAAACCCTGTGTACAAAAACAATCTTTCAACCTTATCATACCCTTCTAAAACCTCATACAATCTATTTTGATACAGGGGTGTTGGCACTCTTAGTGGTGGCAGAACCTGTTTTACGAAATGAATAACGAGAAGCCTGCTGTGTCGGTTGACTACTAGATGCATTAGACGCAGGCACTGTCGTATCAGGAGAGTAGGGCACTGGAAAGATGGATGCTGAGGGATTTAGACTCTGCACACCTGTGTCCTGACTCAACGATTCAGTATCAACTTTCCTAACCTTAGCATAGCATTTATAAATCGGATGTTTGTAACCACATTTACTACAGGTATGTGCAAAACGACAAAGTTGCCTTTTACAACCCGACTGAGTATTAAACCCCCAACAAACATTGGCAACTTGGTTGCCATTGCCTTTATTGCGATTAATGGATGGAGTTTTTTGGATATGTGATCCATACAGAGTAGTAGCCCTCAGCCAAAACTCAGGGTGAATTTGGTCCCATGGATAGTTTGATGTCTGACGAGACAGGCGGAATTGCGAATCATAGTATGTAAATGCTTTGGCTCCATACAACCATGCCAACTCAGAGATGAGGTTATTATATACCAACAAACTAGATGCCAACTGAGGACTTTTTTGTAACACAATATCCATAAAGATAGCGAAAGCTTGTTGCCATAATTCCAAATTCAAAACTCGAGGCTTTGCTGTAGATGTTAATTTTAGCACTGGATCAGTGTCTGCCTCAGAAATATTCAATGAAAGTTGAGTTGGCACTGCACCTGGAAGCAAAGCACTTAAATCAACATACTTATTTATCCATATGTCTTGCTTAAGCTTCTCAGATACATGACGTGAAAGAGACATAGAAATAGAAGCACTACCTATAGATTGGCTAGTACAATTGTAATCCTGTGTTTTAAACAGTGCAGTAGCATTCACTGAAAATACTGACTCATCTGGCACAGTTGCAGTTTCCTTTACAGTTTTAGTTTCTGATGGGCTATCTGATGATTCCTTAGAAGCCGCCGAATCAGGAAACATACTCGCTAAACGTTAAAACATATTATCTTTCAATAATATTTATATTGGCAAAAAATTGGCAGCAGCTAATGAAACATTTCACATGGGGAAGTAAATCAATAATGAGTACCGGTAAGTATTTCATTATGAAAAGTGGTATCAGGTGTCTAGAAGAGTAAGCATACCCTCTCTGGCACCACACCAGTCAATCTTTCCATCAATAACATGGATGAAGCCAAGAAACTTGAGTTCTACATGATCAACATTGTGATTGTCCAAATGGAATCTTGAATATGGCGAAACATATAAATTTATCTGTCAGTTTTATTTCGAAACATGTGGTTAGCTATTCACTTACAGTTTAAAAATAACTTTCCTAACCCTCAATATACTCATGATATCTTTTGTAATACCTGAAGAGCTAAATATACGAAAGCTTTTTAAAAAGTTTTTAAACAGCAAAATTTAATTTTTGGATATAATTAACCTCTTACAGGAGCAGTTTGCAAAACTTTAAATATGGCAGCAATGTGTGCTGCCACTGTTGTCGTTGGGGAGCATTATTACACAGTACCTGGTGGAAGATACAAAAACTACAACTAACAGATGTATGTACATGGACACTATTACCTGTGTAAGAATTATGTCTATCTATTACAGAATGATATAAGTTAATGGAGATAGTAAAATCAGACTTTTATTCTAGTTTGTCTTTGCCGTGACGACAGTGTTAAACAATACAAGTACATGTAGACAGTATAATTGACTTACTTTTCTTGCTGTATTTTATTCTCATTCGTGTATTCTCTTTCTTTCTGTTTAACTTCCTTATCAATAACTGATTGTAACTGTGGACTATCTAAGGTATATCTCTTTTTCAATTCATCCCTGTAATACAGAACATGATTAAGATAAAAGACTGGGATAGGATTGAGACATGTTGGCTTGTGTCATTATTGAAATCTTGGAAGAAACTTGACAAACGGGGAAAAAAAAGTCAGAATAGCCAGTGAATTTTTACATGAGATCACTAAGAAGCCAACTTTTAAGAGCGTATACACATTGATCATGTGATCAGAGGATTAATGGTGGAGGCAGCCATTTTGAATGTCATATGATATTAAATCTACATAATATATATGCCTGCCAGCTCAAACGAAGGGGCACAGATATGCAACATGAGTAGCGTTCTCACTAAATCACTTTTGAGAACAAACTACTGAACAGAATATCAAACACACCTGATTCCGAGAAAGCTGAAGGTCAAGGTTATTTCTTCATGTAAGCAAAGCCAGGTAATTGTTCTGTGAAAATTTAAGTTATTTTGGATTGAAAATGACTGAAAATCAAATATATTCTGTACATGACATTGCAATATTGTTCAAGACAGTGATAGTAGTATGTCATATAGTATTGTCAGTGACAATTCCAATTCTGAAATTGATTTTTTATACATAAAATGATGATGAATTTTCGTAAATTTGAATTATCAAAAAATGAAATAGACATTGTCTAGACCTCTGTAAACAAGAAATCATTCCTCCGTTTGCACACCTGGCCCGTTACAGAGTTTCTAATGTAAAGGTAATAAATATTTAATTTCCCTTCTTTCCCCCTGGTTAGATGCCAGTCAGAGTACTAAAAAATGGCATTAAAATAATGGCATGATGATAGGTGTTGAGAAATAAGGTTGTAATTCATTTTTTTTCTATTTTAAAAAAAAATTTGAGCTAGAATTCAACCTCTTTTGTAGTCTATGGAATTATTACCCGAATTTCAAACCTGCAGCCCTTTTATTGCTTTTTGGGGAATTTTATATTGAAATAAATGGAGAAACCAAATTTTACAATAAAAACAAAATTCAAACTGTATTTGAAACAACTATTGCAGTTTGTAATTTTCAAGTATTCAGATAATTCAAATGAAGTTCCAAATTTATTTTATGGCAATAATCATAAAATTCATGAATTTTGTCACAATTTTCATATGGGATATTCAAGATACAGCCATTCAAAGACAACATGTATTATTCTTTGCTATGTTAAAAAAAACATCTTGATGTGCAAGTATGATATCTTTATCTGGACTGAAGATCCCCTTTACTTGGATTGAAGAACCCCTTTATCTAGACTGAAGATCCCCTTTACTTGGATTGAAGAACCCCTTTATCTAGACTGAAGATCCTCTTTACCTGGACTTAAGATCCCCTTTACCTGGACTGAAGATCCCCTTTACCTGGACTTAAGATCCCCTTTACCTGGACTGAAGATCCCCTTTATCTGGACTGAAGATCCCCTTGAAGATCTCTGTTACCTGAAATAGGCTATACCTGGATATTTCTTACATGTATTGCTAATTTTGATTTACACTTTTTACTTTATTTTAATGATACAGTGTGATTAAGAAGATGTCTGATATACCATCATCTTATTATTTCAATATATTAATCTAAAAAAAATAACAGAATAACATGAGGCAATATTCACGTAGGCGTTTTGAAATCCTTGTTAAATAGTAGAGTAGCTTACAAGTTATGCCTGAGGCCAATAATCTAAAATCTAAAGACAACCAAGTAATAAGTAAAGACATTGTAGCTGTCAAGATTTCTACAGAGAAGAAATGCACTAGACAAATCTACTGAGATTTACACAGTTCATCATGATAGTAAAAAAAACAAAACAAAACAATCACAAACACATAATCTTAATCTTTGATTTGAAGTGGCCATACTCAATGTTTTACAGATTAAGGAATTTGAAAATGTTTTACCACAATTGCAAAAAATAAGAAATGAAGCTATTGAAAATCAAAGTTAATTTTATAAAATGTTTATAAAACAAAGATTACTTTTTTTATAGATAAAACAAACAATAGACTTTTGTTCAATGGGAGAACTATTCTGCAATTCATGTTATTTTGAAGCAACCCCAAGTATTCACTTTAAAGGGACGCAACAGTAGAACTATTTTCTTTGCTGGCTAATAGGGCTCAAAAAACATCAAAAACATATTTTGTTAATTTTGCCAGTCGTCATCTCCATCACATTCTCTTATTACTTAATATCAATGACATCATAATAACTTTTTATTTGTCTAATATTTCAAATGAGAATATCAATGTCACCCTAGAGGGATGTCAATATAACTTACAGCAATATGTAACATGAGGTACCAGCAAACCAGATGTTGTGAATATTAATTATCAAAGTGCCGGTGATATTAAGTTCTATCAACTGACAAAGCATGCAATTAAATGAAATGAAATGAAATGAAATGAATGGAGTTTTACGTCCTACTTTTCTGCACCATGTGGGCTAATGAAGACGGGCAACGCCATGCAGGGTGCAATGAGGGAAATTTTGCCAGGACAGCGACATTAGCCTGCTCTTTTTCGATTTCCAACTGTCGAGGGATCTTTAACGTGTACAGCCTGTAGCAAACGGAGCATCGGTTTATTGTCCCATCCAAACGACTAGACGCTGTTTCCATGTCAGCCCTCTTACCTGCATCACTGACAGGGGAAACCAGGTTGAACCGGGTTGATTGGCTGCATGTGCTAACGTACAATCCAACGAAACCGCTGCATTTACAAACTTCCATATTACAAGAAATGTGGCTATTGCAGTCAATTGGTATAAAATGAAGTTTGTAATAGCTTGACACTGTGAAGATGGGCTACATAACACGCTTTGATTGCATGGTTAAAAATAACATCATTAGATCAGGACTCTATGAGAAACTTTTTTAGATTACAATGGATATAAAAATTAACAAAAAAACAAAAAAGATAGGGAATTGTAATCTAATCGTGACTGAGATTGAAAACAATAGTGTATATAATCTAACTACATGAATGAGCTGGGTGGATTGAATGAAAAATGACTTATTCAAGGCCACCAGACGTACACTTCCTGATTTGAAATTTACCCTCATCATGTGAAATCAGATTGATCTACAAGTTCACAGACGCATAATGACACTAGATAATAGTTAATGAGGTATTTTTACAACACATTTACCGAAAAACATCAATATTTCTAAATCTGATGCAGGAAAAATATATGCATGAAAACAACCAAATTGAAACTCATTTAAAGATGTAAAAGTATATGGTTGCAAATAGGAATAGAAGTCATCAGCTTCAAACACAACTCTCTTGCAACTGAGTTGTGAGTTGCCTTTGGAATTCATGACCGCAACTGCTAATCGCTATGGTGAAGGCACCTTAAGCAAATTTCCAAGCTCATGTCATTGTTTGGAAAAGATTCTACCATGACGATGAATTATATTTTTGTATAACTATACATTAGTTGTTTCTATCAGGTTTTCTTCTAAGCTAAAGCTTTGTCATCAGTGTATTTAAAGAAAATGATTATAACTATTTATGTCTTTTTTCCACAAAATATTTAATTGGTTGGATTTCAAAATCGTCTTTGTTTTCAAGTGTTTGTCTGATTTCGCAATAGAAATATATGTTTTGACAACATCTTTGCTAATCATTTCAATTCCTTTGTGATCATGACCAGTGCAATAAAAGAAGTGACAAATCATTTCCTTTTCGTGCACCAAATTTCATCTGTCCTCAATTTAATGCATTCCCAGTTGTCTCATAAAACTTTTAAAATCTATCAAAAACCTTTGAAAAAACACAGCAAATATCATTACTGGACAAAACTAGTTATATTTTCACTGCTGTGCATCATTGGCTAAAGGTGGGAATAGACAAGGTCAATGTCCGATAAACAAAAATTGTTAGTATACAGGATAAAATAGTAGAAGCAAATCTACACTATGAACTGACCCATACTTTGTGTATTCACTTTTCTATTTTCTACTGTGTTGAAAACTGAACACTGAACACCATACCTCGTCTATTTGTACCTTAGGAAGGACTGAATTAATTATGTCAATCCAAATCAGGCTTCAATTTCTTCCAAACTTCCAATAATAGAATCAGGTGTTCAGTTATACATCTTCATTTATACTTCAGGAAAAACTAAATGATGAATTTAAATGAAACATTTGAAAATACAGTTCAATAGTATTAAAGTCTAAGTATAAAGCAGTAAATCTAACACAATTTATAATTCCTATGCATGTGCAAAGAAAAACCCTACATAAATATCTTTTAAACCTTATATGACTCCATTAAAATCTTCAGAATGAAGTTAATAATAGTCTGAGTGGTGCAGAAGTGAAGATTGATTTACAAACAGAACAATAAATCTAACTAAATCATGTATCAGGAATAAAAACTAACAGATTAATTGGCATAATAAGAAATAGGTAGTAGATATATCTGCACAGTACTAGTCTTTATCAAAATAAGTGATCATAACAATAAATAAGGACCAAGACAGGTCCGTAACTAAGGGCTTTTTTGTATGAGGCAAAAACTCTTGCTGTCTTTGAAATCATTTAAGTCTTTCCTCGCAGCGCTTTAGGCAGACTTCTTCAAACAAAAACCCCCTTTACTGTAAACATCAAAAAAGCGATATATTTAGCAGATATCATTATTATAGTTGAAATATAAAAATTATTATTCATCAAATTCAGCATGAAGCCTTAGCCTTTACGGCCTTACAAGATCAAGTTTGAACCATGGTAAAATATTCAGAGAAAGAGAAAAGCAGGCTGTAGAAATCACGTACAACATCATAAAGATTTGCTGCTCTAAATTTAGATGAAGAGAGCTTAAGGCTTCTCCAAATGAACTACATGTACTTTTGGTCTATTTCCTATTTGAATCATTTTATTGAAAGTACATTGTCTGTGATCATAAAAATGACTCATAACATTTTTATTTACAATTTGTTTACAGATTATTTAAGAATTATTACCAGTGTTTTGGTGGTGAATTCATTCCAATCATGTTACCATAGATTAATGGATTATCAGGACTTATAGGATTTATAGAAATATTAGTATGTGTGTAGATAAGATTACATGTGTAGATTTGATAAGATAGATGTCTCATCATCTGTGTAGATTTGATAAAAGATATTTCATCATCATCATCTGTGTAGATTTGATAAAAGGGATATCTTATCATCAACATCTGTGTAGATTTGATAAAAGGGATATCTTATCATCATCTTCTATGTAGATTTGATAAAAGATTTCTTATCATTTGTGTAGATTTGATAAGTGATGTTGCATCATAAAGATTTTATTTAAAGAGATGGTTCATTATAATTCGTCTTTGTATATTTGATAAAAAAAATGTTTCATCATCATCGGTGTAAATTTGATAACAGATATCTTATCATCATCATCATCTAAGTAGGTTTGATAAAACATCATCATCTGTTTAAATTTGATAAGATATGTACAATCATAATTTGTGTAATTTAAATAAAAGTTATATCTCATCGTCATCATCATCATCATCTGTTTAGATTTGATAAACATGTCTCAACGAATGTCTATATGTAGGTAATAATCATAGTCTGTGTAGATTTGATAAGAGATGTCTTAACACTTGTGTTAAAGAAAACTCTCATCATTATCATCTGTGTAGATTTGATAAGAGATGTCTTAACACTTGTGTTAAAGAAAACTCTCATCATTATCATCTGTGTAGATTTGATAAGCAAATCTCATTGTCATTATCATCTTATAGATTGAGAAAAGAAATATCCTGTCATCATCATCTGTATTGTTTTGAGAAAAAAGATATCCCATCATTATCATCATCTGTGTAATTCTAAAAGAGATATATCATCATCATCATATATCATCTGTGTGGATTTAACGAAAAAAACATATCTCATAATTGTGTAGAATTGATAAAAGAGGAATCTCATCATCATCATCATCTGTGTAGATGTGTATATTTGATATTTTAAAGAAAAATATCATCATCATCTGTGTAGATTTGATATTCTAAACAAAAATCTCATCATTATAATCATCTGTGTAGATTTGATATTTTAAACAAAAATCTCATCATTATCATCATCTGTGTAGATTTGATAAAATAATACACAATACAATACACAAACCAAAGATCATATCCAGCCATCTAACAAACACTTTAGTACATTCTGCTCCGATGACAGAAACTCTCCTCACAGCAGAAGATAGAGGATTATAAAAACATGCAGAAAAAACAATAACCAAACAGCCTACTTACCTGTGTTCTTGTTCTCTGTTAGCCAGAAGTTCCTGTAAAGCCTGAATCTTACTCTTCTGTTTATCTCCAGCTTGACGTAACATATCCAACTCACGATTTAAAGCAGCACATTTCATCTGAACTTCTTGATATTTCTTATTCTGAAGTTAAAATACCATATCATGGTTCTATTTGAAATTATCTTGATGAACTACATAATCAAACAGAAATCCAGAAGCAGTCAAAATCAATAAGGTTGAATAATAGATTCCAAAGGGTCTGGATCATTCAAAACAAAACAAATAATAAAGCCAAATGCCCATGAAGAGAGCAAGTATTTTCTCCCCAGTATAATGCACACACTTCAATCCAAAACACCATGTCAAACTTGAAATCCAACATATCTTTTCTAGAGAGGCACACTATGCACTATCTATACTTGATGGATAGATCAATGTACTCATGTTTTTTAAAGCCTAGAATGATACTTATGAAATGTCTTGCATGGAGTTATTACTAATCATTTAACTGAATGTTGAGAGAAATTTTTCACCCGTTCCTTGATCATCTTTGGACAAAGTGCGAAAAGAAATATATCAAATATTAAATTGCGTTACAAATAGAAGTTCAGAAAAGACTTCTCAAATTCTGCTCATGAGCACAGATTATCCAAAACCAAATGCAGTGAATTAAAATTTCATCGCAGGTGAATTGAATTTATTGCCATGACAACGTGACATGCCAGCTATAGTTTAGCGTGAAATCATAAAAGATGGTCTGTCGGTATCGATGATTGCATTCATTCTCGTTCACATTCAACTATAAAAATGCAACAAATTTACCTGCAAAAACAGTAATTATAACTAAGTTACAGGAGTTATCTCCCTTCTGGAAATAAACAAACTTGAGTACGACAGTGACCCATGAAGATTGTTTGACTTTACAGAAGGCACATATATATGTTTATAAATGATTTATTACAGTTTCAGTTAAATTTTTAACAGTTTCAATTACATTCATGACATTTTCAGTTACAATCATGACATCTTCAGTTACATTCATGACAGTTTCTGTTACATTTTTAACAGTTTCAGTTAAGATCATGACAGTTTTCATGACAGTTTCAGTTACAATCATGACGGTTTCAGTTAAAATTAAAAACTATTCACCCGAGTGCCGTTTGTATATTTAGTTGGTGACTTTTTTTGATGAAGCGCAGACACGTTTATTTCATTTTCGTAACTCTTATTTTCAACACAAGATTTCATCTTAATTACATAACTCTTATCCAGACCTACTCTTATTTAACACACAAGATTTCATCTTAATCAAATAACTCTTATACAGACCTACTCTGATTTTCCACACAAGATTTCATCTTAATCAAATAACTCTTATACAGACCTACTCTGATTTTTCACACAAGATTTCATCTTAATCAAATAACTCTTATACAGACCTACTCTGATTTTTCACACAAGATTTCATCTTAATCAAATAACTCTTATTCAGACCTATTCTGATTTTTCACACAGTATTTCATCTTACTTAGGTAACTCTTATTCAGACCTACTCTGATTTTCCACACAAGATTTCATCTTAATCAAATAACTCTTATTCAGACCTATTCTGATTTTTCACACAGTATTTCATCTTACTAAGGTAACTCTTATACAGACCTACTCTGATTTTTCACACAAGATTTCATCTTAATCAAATAACTCTTATACAGACCTACTCTGATTTTTCACACAAGATTTCATCTTAATCAAATAACTCTTATTCAGACCTATTCTGATTTTTCACACAGTATTTCATCTTACTTAGGTAACTCTTATTCAGACCTACTCTGATTTTCCACACAAGATTTCATCTTAATCAAATAACTCTTATTCAGACCTATTCTGATTTTTCACACAGTATTTCATCTTACTAAGGTAACTCTTATACAGACCTACTCTGATTTTTCACACAAGATTTCATCTTAATCAAATAACTCTTATACAGACCTACTCTGATTTTTCACACAAGATTTCATCTTAATCAAATAACTCTTATTCAGACCTACTCTGATTTTTCACACAAGATTTCATCCTAATTAGGTAACTCTTATCCAGACCTACTCTGATTTTTGTCCCACAAGATTCCAACTTAATTAGAAGCAGACAGATTGTCACGTTCAAATTCTCAAAAGACTCAAGATTTTTTTAATCATATTTCATTATCCCCAATCCTGTTTTCTATTTGGAAGGATTCAGATGGAAATCAAAGCAACAAGATACAGGTGTGATTATTCCAAAAAATCATGATTCTGACCAAACATATCAGACTTCTGATGATTTCAGGCATATGGAATGACATGTGATGATATTATTTTACTAAGATAAAACGATTCCAACCAATTTAGTTGACAAATGGATTTTGATTGACTAGAAATTCATTTTTAATTATAGTAATCTATTCTAAGTATAGAAAATTGCCAATTCAATCAAATTTTACCATCATTTGAAAAGTTCCAGGGTTATGAGTAGAAAGAATTCCAATGATCCAAACATAATGTATTTTTAATAACAACTTTATTAGAATTGAATGGGTCTTTATGATATCTTTCTTCATTTATCAGTGGTCTTTAATTCAAATCTATAATAATTTATTATATTCTATTCAATTTAACTGTCTGCAATCAGATGATTTTTTATATTTTATTATTTTCTAGTAGATAACCAATAAACCATTGCCAACCAGTCTGTAGCATAAAAAAAAACAGAAAAAGTTTACTGTATGTAAACAGAAATACAAATAGAGTTATAAGTATACAATTCTTCAGCGGGAATATGGACAAACCCAATCACAAACTAACATCATGTGTTCCAATGGGATTTTAGCTAATTATTTCAGTGAATCTATATATCATGGTGGAGAGATATTTATCATGAGGGACTTGCCCCAAAGGAAAATGACTTACAAACCAGCAAGTACTAACCTAGGTCAATTCAGCAATTAACTAGTGAGCAAGACTTTCTTTTTGAATAGGCCTTTTGGAGTCAAAAATATTATATATTATTACGTTAGTATTTTATATGAAAGGTCAATGGTCACTAAAGATTTATAAGAGTAGACAAAATTGATGCAATATTTAAACTAAGCAAAACAAACATCTATAGGAAATGAAATTTGATCAATACAGCCCACTGACTGATTGAAAGTTAAATGAGTTTAGATTAAGACAATGGAACCTTCAGACTTACAACCCACCTTGATAATAAATGTTTAAAGGGACAGGTAGGTCATTTTTTTGACCAATCATACTTTAGCGTCAGAAACTGGAATTTTTTAGCTGATCTAATCAGTAAAAGTGTTTACAGCTCACCATCAAAATTTGAGCCTTCCAATCCATGTGTATCTAGAATTATCTGCGTTTGAATGATAAATTACGACTCCTCAATCTAAGATAATATATTATATATAGAAATAGTGAGTAAATCACTAGCTTGAAGTATTTTTAAAGGAATTATGATTTTCATACATTTCAAGTACTTCTGAAGACTATTTACATATATTTAGAGACTAAAATCAATCCCCCAAAATGGCACACCTGTCCCTTTAAATAAAATTATACCTAATGATATATTCAATAAAAAAATTAAAACAAAATTTGTCCCTCAAGTGGAGATATTTTCATATATTTTAATATAGTATGGTGAATGTATGACTATAGTTTCTCATTCCACCTTGAATCAGATATCATTATCAGTAGATATATAGTCAGTGACCACAATGAAAATTTAAAGTTCAAATTTGACATTTTTTCATTTAAAATAAACACACTTTCCTCCCCAAGTTGCATGTAAAATAAACCTAACTTTTAACAAGATATAAAGAGAAGAGTTTAAACCTAACTTTTAACAAGATATAAAGAGAAGAATAAACCTAACTTTTAACAAGATATAAAGAAAAGAGTTTAAACCTAACTTTTAACAAGATATAAAGAGAAGAGTTTAACCCTAACTTTTAACAAGATATAAAGAGAAGAGTTTAAACCTAACTTTTAACAAGATATAAAAAGAAGAGTTTAAGCCTAACTTTTAACAAGATATAAAGAGAAGAGTTTAAACCTAACTTTTAACAAGATATAAAGAGAAGAGTTTAAACCTAACTTTTAACAAGATATAAAGAGAAGAGTTTAAACCTAACTTTTAACAAGATATAAAAAGAAGAGTTTAAACCTAACTTTTAACAAGATATAAAGAGAAGAGTTTAAACCTAACTTTTAACAAGATATAAAAAGAAGAGTTTAAGCCTAACTTTTAACAAGATATAGAAAGAAGAGTTTAAATGTAACTTTTAACAAGATATAAAGAGAAGAGTTTAAACCTTAACAAGATATAGAGAGAAGAGTTTAAACCTAACTTTTAACAAGATATCAAGAGAAGAGCTTAAACCTAACTTTTAACAAGATGTAAAGAGAAGTGTTTAAACCTAACTTTTAACAAGATATAAAAAGAAGAGTTTAAACCTAACTTTTAACAAGATATCAAGAGAAGAGTTTAAACCTAACTTTTAACAAGATATAAAGAGAAGAGTTTAAACCTAACTTTTAACAAGATATAAAGAGAAGAGTTTAAACCTAACTTTTAACAAGATATAAAGAGAAGAATAAACCTAACTTTTAACAAGATATCAAGAGAAGAGTTTAAACCTAACTTTTAACAAGATATAAAGAGAAGAATAAACCTAACTTTTAACAAGATATCAAGAGAAGAGTTTAAACCTAACTTTTAACAAGATATAAAAAGAAGAGTTTAAACCTAACTTTTAACAAGATATAAAGAGAAGAGTTTAAACCTAACTTTTAACAAGATATAAAGAGAAGAATAAACCTAACTTTTAACAAGATATCAAGAGAAGAGTTTAAACCTAACTTTTAACAAGATATAAAAAGAAGAGTTTAAACCTAACTTTTAACAAGATATAAAGAGAAGAGTTTAAACCTAACTTTTAACAAGATATAAAGAGAAGAGTTTAAACCTAACTTTTAACAAGATATAAAAAGAAGAGTTTAAACCTAACTTTTAACAAGATATAAAGATAAGAGTTAAAACCTAACTTGTAACAAGATATAAAGATAAGAGTTTAAACCTAACTTTTAACAAGATATAAA